CAAACCGAACTAATTGGACAGACAACAAAATAAAACGAGGAAATCTACATTATAAACACAATATGCATATAACTACATCTGAGTATCAACAGCAAATCCGTTCACAATGAAAGGTAACCAAATGACAGAAAGGATAAAGAAAATTCGTTTAAGCTTGCAGTGTTAAAGTTTAATAATTATTCACGCTTAAATTTGAATATTACAGTGTGTATTTTTTCCAACGGCTTAATTTAGCTTTGCAGTCATTTTACCGGCGGAGGCTTTACCAGTCTTCAACCAAATTAACCTGGGAATTCATCCAAGCATTTCGCCAAACCGAATAAATTGAACATACAAAATGAGGAAATCTTCATACTTTGTAATTACAAGATGCAAATCTTCACATAGGAACGTCAAAAGTAAACTTAGCAAATCCTGTTTGCCTCTACTCCCCCCTGGATGGGATGCTAGTCCATCGCAGGGTTACCCCCAGCATTAAGTTCGCCGGTACCCATTTGTACGCCTGGGTGGAGAGAGGCACTGTGAGAGTAAAGTGTCTTGCCNCCCCCTGGATGGGATGCTAGTCCATCGCAGGGTTACCCCCAGCATTAAGTTCGCCGGTACCCATTTGTACGCCTGGGTGGAGAGAGGCACTGTGAGAGTAAAGTGCCTTGCCCAAGAACACAACACAATGTCCGCGGCCAGGGCTCGAACCCGGACCGCCCGATCCGGAGACGAGCGCACTAACCATGAGGCCTTTCTTTTTTTTCAACAATAGAAGAAGAGATTTTAGTAGTCCACGAAGTGGCTGTGCCAACTAACACGGAGAAAACTTCAAAACTCGCCCGGCCGTGTTTACAAATACGGTTTTGGTTGAGCTTATTTTTAGACGTGAGGTTATAAGCTTAAGTTGACGACGAAAATCCACACAAAAATTAATTTGTTTACAACTTACAACAACCTCCACAAAGCGACTCGCGTGTTATTGTTTAGAGATGAGCAAAATAAAAACGATGTAATTTATAAAATGTCTCACAGCATAGCTTCAAATAAGGAAGACTTTAAAAAGGATTCCAATTGAAAATAAGCTTAAGATCGCCGAGGCAACTTGTTAATTTTCATAGCAAACGTCACAACAAAAGTCACCTACCGCAAGTTGGCAATTCAGTTCGGCCAGTGTAAATCTTCCGGGCAGAAACTTGCGGAAAAAGTTGTGAAGACTGAACTGAACTAATCTTTTCGATGGATCAACGAATCAACCACTTTTTTCCGCTGTGTTTACTGTTTTGTAATTTCTCTAAACACTCAGGGACGTTTAATTTCTCTTGTTCATCACCTGACCAAATCATGTGACTTTTCTTGCACAGCAGCACAGCATCACGTCGCGCAAATTTTAAAACTTGGCCGAAAGTTCTGCAGTCTTCTGAGTCAATTTGTCGGGTACTTTCGCCTCCTTTCTATAGCCCTCGTTAGCTT